AACCGATCGGGTAGTGTTTCGACTACGAAGGTCAGTGACCGAACGACTTTCATCCGTCTGTTCTTTTTTTGTCTGAGTGGTGGATTTCTCTTTCGTGCTTTCTGTAGTATTTTCATGGGATCGATGAGTGTCGTCCGGGGTGGCCGGATTCTTGCCCTTGAGCGTAGTGGTCAAGTCCTTCTTGGCCGGAGTCTTTGGTGCCTGAGACGTTGAGGGGCGGATTTGCGTCATGAGGTTTGATATTCCCTTGATAAAATTCGGATCTTTGAAAATGGTTGAGTAGTCCGTCCCGGTGGTTTGGTTGTTGCGCCGGTCTTCTCTTTCTTCCGGCGTGTCACGGCGGCGGCTTTGGCTTGACGACGATGATGTTGTTTTTGACATGTTGGAGTAGCCCTTCCTCTAGCGGCAGTTGTTGACGTCTAAAAATGACCAACAATGTATTCAAACTGCACACTAGGATGTGTACTCGGTTCAGTCTGCACAAACATATATGTATGTGGTGTTCGATTCTAGAAGTGGAACGAATAGAAGTTCTGTTCGTGACTTATGTAGTAATTAATGAGAGAATTTACTCATTGCATTAAATGTTGTCCTCCTCCTCCTATTTATATAGGAAGTTTAGGGACTTAGTACTATTCCCTCTTGGGAATTTTTCTATATTTCTTTTACAAGATATTCTTGGAATATTAGTCATTCCACATTTAATGCTAATGTACTATACCATATAATCTCAATATTAATGGCTCGTCTGGATCGGGCCACATGTCTTGGCTTTTCCCTCACCATCAGATGGGTGATTTGGATATATTTCCACATTAAATGCGCCTGGTACGGCCGATTTAGGTAATGATTTGAATTGATTTTACTCTTTTGCTCCTATCCGTTCGGCATGTAGCTTGTCTTGGTTGCGCCCGGTTCGTTTCTTCCGCACGCGTACGGATTTGTCACGTGTCTAACCTTATAACCATCCGTTGGATCTATACAACGTACAGTTGGACAATTAATTTCGTGGTTAAACTGAATATCATTTTTTGTATTTTATCAATAATATGAAATCGAATTATTTGGTATACTATAAATTGATCTAATATACCTGCTTAACAAATGGTATCTCAATATTTTATTGCATACTGCTAAGCATTTTACTCGATATTAGTAAAAAAATCTGGATAATACTATGGTCAATTCTTCTTTGTAAATGTGCGTGGAACATGTCAAATTATTTGGTGTGTGTGTGTGTATAAAGGTTTGTTTTTACTTAAATGACATTGCAGTCGATTCCAATTTCTAAATAAAAATTTTAAAATGACGTCTATTTTTTAAATGAATATAATATAACTTATTATCAGTTACTTGTATCGTGCGAGTCGTGTACTAATTTTAAAAAGACATGTTTATGTAATTTTTCATAGTTTAAGTTTTACATAACATTTTCAACAAACTAATATCGGTAACATTGTATTACATATTGATTCCATATTTCTAATTTGTAAATATTATTTAATGAGCATTTGTAGTTTATAAATATTAATGAATATTTTCTTACCCGTGCACCGCACGAGAGATTCCTATTAGTTAAATTTTATATGACCATGCACATTATTTTTTGGAAGCATTATACTATTAACTAGACGATAAAAGAATATTATTTTTTGTAAAAAAACTTATAATATATTTGTTAGATTTAATTTATTTTCAAACTTTGTTAACAATTTATTAGTTATATTATATTGACTGTGTAATAGAATAATATTTATATTTCTTTATATTACACGGGTCAAATCGATGTTTCATTGGATGAAATCGAGTTACCCATTTACACACCATGTTAAATCCGACCCGAAACTGAAGATTAATATTCTGGGTTCGAGTAGGTAATATGTATAATGATTGGGTTTGGGTTTGGGTTTTCTGAAACTCGTACCCACATTCGACCCGACCCGTTTTTACTCCCAAGCCTTGTTAGAAAGGTCATATACTTTGGGCCTTTGGCCATGCAGGTGGTGTGTACTGTGTAGTCTAGGCTGGGCCGGTCTTATGCAACCCGGAAACATCAGTCTCGCCAAATGTTCACAGCTGGAGCGACTAACAGGGACTTTTGTTCGGAAAATCAGAATCATCTATGTACGTCTTCCTCGCACCATCCAAATGAGTTTACGCGCCAAATTTGTCGCCCATGCCAGTAGCCAGCTCCGGCGACCTCAAAACCTAATAAGCCGTCTCTTGCTCCTTCTCGAACGCTGCAACTCGTCCAGATCAGTGCAGCAGATTCACGCCCAGATGCTCGTTCGCTCCATAGCGATGCCCATGCCCAATTACATCCTCTCCAAACTAATCGACCTAAAGGACTTCAGCTACTCCACTCTTTTCTTCCCCCAAATCCCCCTCAACAGCTACGCCTTCAACGTTATGATCAGGGGGTTAGCCACTGCGTGGCAGAAATTCGACCTTGCCTTACAATTACTCGTCGAGATGAAATCGCTTGGCGTGAATCCGGACAATTTCACGTACCCGTTCATTTTCAAATCCTGCGGGAACATTTCAGCTTTGAGAATGGGGGAAACTGTCCATTCCGAGGTTGTGAAATCTGGGCTGCGATCGGATTTCCACGTGGTTCATTCTTTGATCACGATGTACTCGCGTTGCAGAGAGGTGGATTGTGCTCGGAACTTGTTCGATGAAATGACTGATCGGGACATGGTTTCATGGAACTCTATAATATCGGGATACTCAAGGTTAGGGTTTGCACGGAAGGCGGTCGAAATGTTTCGAGAGATGAGGGAGGACGGATTTGAACCCGACGAGATGACGCTCGTGAGCGTGCTTGCAGCCTGTGGGGATTTGGGGGACCTCAGCCTGGGAAGATGGATTGAGGGGTATGTTGTTGAGAAACGGTTCAAGTATAATTCATACATTGGTTCTGCTTTGATTAATATGTACGGGAAATGTGGGGAACTCGAGTCTGCACGAAGGGTGTTTGATAGCATGAAAAGGAAAGAGCTAGTCATTTGGAATTCCCTAATTACTGGGTAAATATATTTCTCCATGCAGCATTAGCTTGTTTATATATTTATTGGTTCATCTTTAATTTGCAGGGCCTATCTTGTTAACCACATTTCATAATACAGGTTCTTGCATGTGGTACGTTTTCTACGTTTCCAATGGTTTGATTTTGGGTTTATTGTGAAAACAGATACTCACAAAATGGACAGTCGGATGAAACTCTCAAATTATTCAATGACATGATGGAGACGGGACCTGAACCTAATGAAGTCACACTAATTGCGGTTCTATCTGCTTGTGCGTCAGTTGGAGCTCTTGATACTGGGAAATGGATCGATGAATATGCGTTCAAAATAGGGTTGCATCGTAACATTTATGTAGCTACCGCTCTAGTTGACATGTATTCGAAATGTGGGAATTTGGAATACGCGTCACGCGTATTTGAAAGTATGCCTCTTAGAAACCAGGTTTCTTGGAATGCAATGATATCTGGACTTGCTTTTCATGGGCATGCACAGAAATCGCTCGCCTTATTTCAACGCATGTTGGATGAGGAAAAGGTTTTGTTTCCGGATGATATCACTTTTGTCGGGGTTCTTTCTGCATGTGTTCATGCAGGTTTGGTGGATGAAGGTCGTAGATTGTTTAATATGATGAGCTTATCTTTTGGGCTAACTCCAAAAGTCGCGCACTACTCTTGCATGGTTGATCTTCTATCCCGTGCAGGACGGATTTATGAAGCTTGGGACTTTATTCAGAAAATGCCACAGAAACCGGACGAGATTTTATTAGGGGCTTTGCTGGGTGCCTGCCAGAAGCTAAAAAACGTGGATATTGGCGAAAAGGCCATGGAACTTCTGTTAGAATTGGAACCTTCAAATTCTGGCAACTATATTATCTCATCAAAAATATATGCTGATATGAGGAGGTGGGACGATTGTGCTAGAATGAGATTGTTAATGAAACAGAAGGGTGTAACTAAGACCCCAGGATGTAGCTGGATCGAGATGGATGGCCATCTTCATGAATTTCATGCTGGTTATTTGTCAGTTGAAGATGGAGATGAGATTCACAAGATTCTTGACTTGGTATATGAAGACATGATGATGGAAGATAGCACACATTTAGATTCTTAATGCTTAAGGTAATGCAGAAAGCATTGTAGCTTATAGTTCTCGTCATATTAATTCTTCCACTTACATTCATTATATGTATAAGTAGCTGGCGAAATACTTCCAGCAGAAGATGAACCTTGGCTAACTTGTTAACAAAGTTTTTTTCTTGGTTTTCAAGTTGAAGATATATAACAATCTGAAGATGAAATGTTTAAAGTATGCAAAAGCATTTGTCTAAGGTTCTGAGGAGTGAGTGACGGCATTAAACCATCGGCATAGCGGCTATCTGTGAAGGAATTATTATCAGGTACTGATCAAAATTCTGTCTCCCGTGAGGTAGAAAAGTTTTTTTGCAAATTCCTTGTGCTTCTTTTTATGTCTTTCAACCTAGAATTCTTCACATCACAGAAACCCTTAACTAATATGTGCCATAATTTGTTATCACAGGTCTGACGCTTGTATTCTAAACCCATATGGCTGCAGTTTTCAACCCTGAACGAATATTCTTGACATTAGAACTTGTTGATTTTGGGAGTGCTTGTTGAAGCATCCATTGAGCCTGCACCTGAGAGTTCTCATCTTGGGTAACAATGTCTGAATATGTATGCCTTCTCTTTTTTCCATGTTCAATATTGTTGTGCACATATGCTGCTGTAATCCCACAACTGTATATTTAATATTTATAGATCTATAATTTTCAACTTATCGATCTCACAATAATTGTGTTATTTGAACTTTAACATATCAACTTGAAATATTAAGATTTGATTTTCAACATTTTAGGAAATATGAAAAATCAATTTTCAACTTTTGACTTGGAAACGTAGTTACAGAATAATTCACACAAATATACACCCGTACCCCAGAACCAACGAAAAGATCTTAGGATGCATATTCAGAGACTTCTAGGGTCAAAGTACTTTGTGAAGAAAAATTGTTACTGCAGTTATGAAGAATATGCAGACAATCTCTCATGGATGGTCGATTGGAAGGTGATGTGGCAGTACACACAACTCCTAATCGGAAAACGGTGATTATTTGATCCAAATATATTGGTTCCTTGATCTCTGCATCCAATGCGTAAAAAAGGGCACCTGTGTCCCTGAATTGTTGTAGTGCCCATCCAGCTAGATTTGTATGTTCTCCTCGAGTAACTGCCTTTCTCCCTGTAGTGAGTTCAAGTAGAACTACCCCAAAGCTATAAACATCGCTCTTTGTGTTCACTTTACTCGTGTAGGCATACTCTGTGGTTCAAAGGTTCGGAAGTTGTGTATTAGAATATGAGTTAAAAGAATCCACTTCACCCTAACTAAATGAGGCACATGGTGCTCCAGGTAAATTCTTTCCTAGGTGAGAAAGATTTCTACTAGAACTGTAATGTTATTGAGAATTCGAAGTCCACAAATTGTTCTGTAATGAGGTTTCCAATGTAACTAAAGCACTATACAAATAGTTATTTTATCCTAAACAATAATTCAAAATAAATAAAGGATAAGAATGTCAAAAACATACTTGTCTTTTACTTCTAAAAGTACCGAGAAAGCCCTTCTAGAAATCAAAAGCATTACCACCTACCCTCCTGCTTTTGAATTTTGTAGAATTTAAAATCGGCATTTAAAACACAACAAGTGGTATTTTTACTCCTTTTGTAAAGCTAGCAATCACTTATTATTTTTTCCTCACTAAATTAAAATATGAGATAAAATGCATACCAGGGGCAATGTAGCCAAAAGTTCCAGCAACAGCAGATGCTGTCTCTGTATCCCCATGCCCATTTAGCAACTTAGCTAGACCAAAATCTGCTATTTTAGCATTGAATTCAGAGTCCAATAGTATATTGCTCGATTTAATGTCCCGGTGGATTACAGGTGGAGAACAATCATGGTGCATATAGCAAAGGCCTTGGGCTACACCTATTGCAATATTCAGCCTCATTGGCCAATCCAAATTTGTGATTGAACTATTATTACCACCATCTGATGCTAATTCCCTCTTGTTGCCATGCAGCCACTGATCGAGGCTCTTATTCTCGAAATATTGGTAAGCGAGAAGCTTCATGTTGTTGTTTGACATACAACAAAAGAGCTTTACTATATTGTAATGCCTGATAGTCCCCAGTGTCTGAATCTCGGCCATAAATTCCTTCTCAAGCCGGTGGTTAGATTTTGTCGAATTCGATATGCTTTTGACAGCATACGTGCTTCCTGTTTGGTTGATATAAACTCGGTACACTTTTCCTGAGCCTCCATTTCCTATAAGATTTTCGTCTGTCAAGCTCGTTACAATCTCGTGTTTGTTGAACTTCAACTTTTGAAATGAAATCATTTTCCATATGTCTTCCTTTTCCGTAGCAGGGCCACTGCACCAGATTTTCTTCAATTTTGCTAAGTTCAACTTATTTTTCTTAAGCCAACATTTTCTTGCCAAGTAGGTAAATATTGCAAATCCCGTAACCCCACAGCCAATTCCGCACACTATTATTAAAATACGATACACGTTGTGCTTGGAACTATTGCATTTTAGATACATGTGGAACTTATTGTCCGAGCAGAAGCTAGAGGGGCAACTTGGTAAACCCTCATACCCATAGTCTGAGCAGAGATTGAAATCATCCAAGCAATTTTGATCAAAGTCCTTATTCACAAACTCATGAGGAATTTCTCCCGAGAATTTGTTTGAACAAAGCCTAAGCACACTGATGGAGCTCAAAAGAAGGAAGTCATCCATGATGTCACCAGAGAACTGGTTATTAGATAAATCCAACGAGCTTAGAGCTGTTAATTCGCCTAGACTTTTCGGTAGCGTCCCTAGTAAGTTATTGTGAGTAAGATTGAGAACTTGTAAGCTGGTCAAGCCCAAATTTTCTGGCAGTTGACCAGTCAAGTTGTTGTGACCTAACAAAAGAGTGTACATCCGGTCCAAACCGAACAAACCTCTTGGGATGTTACCGACAAATGAATTCATGGATAAATCGAAATGTAGAAGGCTGTGTAAATTCCTTACATCATCCGGGATTGATCCATTCAACTGATTATTAGAGAGATCAAGAAACTCCAAACTGGATGTCTCTATTGGTGTTGGTATAACACCGGACAATCTATTTCCGTTAAGGAACAAATGTAGAAAGTTTTTCATACGAAAAATCTCACCCGGTATATTTCCTGAAAGCATATTTGATGAAAGATCCAGTTTTTGCAGGTATGAGCAACTGTGCAGGCTTACCGGTATTTGCCCCAACACATTGTTCTCGGATAGGTTGATGGAAATGAGGCTTTTGAGCTGCTGGCATATTGAGGTCGGGATTTTTCCCGTTATGCTTTTCCCGGCCAAGAATAGGCCTGTGACTGTACCTGAAGTGCACTCGATTTCAGGCCAATGGCAAGGTGAGGAAGAAGATGAGGCCCATGAGTTTAATGAGTTGGGATTATTCCAGTGTTGTTTCAGGTTTAGTAGGTAATCTTGTTCAGAAGAAAGATTTTGGGAGTTTATTTGAAGAAGATAGGCGGGGAATAGTAGGATGAAGAGATTAAGAGGTGCCATTTTTGCCGAAAAAAGATTCTTGGATGGTTTTTTTATAGGGCACTTTGGTCAACCCAAGTCAAGTCAAACTCCAGCAGACGCACACGATTTTAATGATATTAATAAATTTTTTTGTTGTGTTTTTTTCTCTTTTGCCTTTTAAGTACAGATGTTGAATGAGTCAAAGCCGAGTTATCAACAGTCCGCCAACTTATTTATATCAATACAAGTAACATTTTTAATGCTTATATTTATTTATTCGTTTAGGGAATAATAATTTTACTTATATCTGTTAACAATATACTTATCAAATACTTATTTTTATTAAAAAAATTGTTGTCATTTTTCTTTATGTTATATTAGTAAAATATAATAGAATCACTCATGTTTTCTATACAAAAAGTTGTCCACAATAACAATCACGGCCGTTTGTAAACAACGGCGAATCACCCAAATATTCCCACAGGATGATCAATGTTTTTATGTAGTGCCACAAGATAGTGTTGTAATTTTATATTTGTATATATCGTATTTAAATAACAAACTATCGTATTGATTATAGAATACATAGTTCTATAAGGGTACCCACATTGCGTCATCATTTTTTTGTGTTAAATCCTGGCGTTAACATGGATGTGGCCCAATCTTCTCCGCAACAAACGAGTCAATCTTCCGTATCCCAAATCAGGAAAGAACCTGATATTCCAACGTACGTTCCCGAAACACAATTTTATGATCGTAAAACAACTATTAATGTTGCGTGTCACAGTTGAGGGTCAGAAGAAATGTCCACATTGGACAAAAGAAGATGATGTGCTATTGGCAAATGCTTGTATGACAATAAGTGACTATCCAATTACCGATAATGATCAGAAAACCAAAGTGTTTTGGATACGTATTGTAAATTATTATAACGAAATCCACCTTCTGTATTTATAGAGATTTTAATATTAATAAGATCTCATTGGCATAATACTATTCCAAAAAAAAGTGTATCGATTCAATGAGTGCTACAACAATATTTAAAGTGTTTATCGAAGTTGTTGCAATGATGAGTATATTAAGTCGGAGTTACGAAAAATATGGTATTAAGCGTAACTAGTACAATACACGTGTAGTACACGAGTATTTGTTAAGAAAATTATATTTACAATCAAATAATAATAACAAAAATTATGTTACTTTTTAAATACTTTTTTGAAATATATACCATCTTATATTATATACTTTCTAATTTATATCAAATAACTACTTTGTAGTTAAGTTAATTTAAATAATTATATTTTTTGAATTAATGTTAATATTATAAATATAAATATAATTATTTAAATGTTTTGTATGTATAATATAGATATCAAATCAAAGTTCATCAAGACACAATTAATTTAATATATTATATATAAAAAATTATTAATAAATAAAAGATATTAACTTTTAAATATATATATATATATATATATATATATATATATATATATATATAATTTAAGTTAGTAAATTTGTTATAATTTGAAAAGTAATATGATAAAAAAGAGAAAGATTGGGAAAATAATTATATCTTATACACCATGTATACAATATGAAATGATGTTAAAACAAAATTAATTCTCTTAAAAAAGACCATAAATATCCGGTATACTATGAATATTCTAAGCCTAGTTATTTTTGGACTGGAAATAAATTAAAATTTATCTAAGCCAAACAACAAAACTTAAAAATTTGACACATAAGTTTCTGAAGCGTGCAAGTCCGTCATTTAAGAGTATCTCTAATGTTCAAATATTGTTGTGGTAAATTATATTCCACATCAATATATTTAGCAATGTCACAACTTTTTCATCATCCAATGCACTATTGATCACAAATGTTGTGATGATGTGGACATAATTAATTTTACAATGTAGAGGAGATCCACATTCTCCTCCACACTCTAGCTAGCCAATAAGGAGAAGAAATAGAATTATTCTTACCAGTTTTAAACTATTTTATTAATTTTCTTACTACCGATTATAAAATTTAAATATTTGGAAGTAGATAATATTGTAGTTACACTACATTGTGCATTGGAGATATTTTTTTTGTTTCATAGTTGTAAATGTTGTAGATATTTTAACTGGAGTTATATCAAAGGATTCAATCCCCGGTTCGTGTCTCAAAGAAGGTTAGTCAGATTAAATTGTGTGAATATTCCGTCACTGAAAGAGAAAATAAATCCTAAACACTCTAATTCAATGTGTTGGGTTTTTAATTATCAACTAATGATTCTTAGACAAGCTATTTCAATCTCACAACTCAAAACACAATTCAAACTATTGTAGATATTTTATCGGAGTTAAATCGAATGATTCAATCCCCGAGTCATGTCTCAAGGAAGGTTAGTCGGATTACTTTTCACGTGTATTCAATCACACGAAAAGAAAAAACAGAATCTTAAACACGCTAATTCAATTTGTTGGGTTTTCAATTATCAACTAATGATTCTTAAACAAAGCTATTTCAATCTCACAACTCAAAACACAATTCAAACAGTGATAAAGAGGCTAGGGTGTTGGGGACAATCGCTTCCAGTTTTAAAAACATTTATCGGGCAATCAAATACTCTATGAAAGGACTCGGAAAACTTACTCATCTAGAGATTTATCCTCAATAACTCTTCGTAACAAGAGAATAAATATAAACGAACAATTATCAAAACAATTAACACATAGGCAATATCATTATGAACAAGCTTATTCTAAACGAGCCTAGATCGATCGATTTCTCCCCTTTCGGTTCTAAAAATTGATTAACTAGATTAAGACGGTGATCAATCATCTAACCCTAGGATTAACACAACTCGCCAAGATTGAGCAATCTACATGCACATAAACGAAAACGAATTGGAACAATTATCCCCTAACCCTGGCTAACGAATTTAGCCACGCATCACAAATTCAACGTCAATATTCTCATCAAACAAGCCATAACATACATAAATAAAATGAAAAGAGAAACTTACAATTAATTCGAAAACAAACGGTCAAATCTTGAGTGCAATCCAAATCCCAAAGATGAAATGGAGTTTTTTACTCTCCAAAATCAAATCTAAGCAAACCAAAGAGAGCATATGTTTTGTTCCCTTCAAAACGAAATTACCAAGTCTAAGATTGCCTAAAATCTGCCCTTGAGTCGACTGCAAAATCATATTTCAACTTATTTTTCCCTTTGACTAAAATTTAGAGTATACTGTCAGATCTACGGGTGCACATAATTTGGTTAACCGACTGAAACTGGAAATATTGATTTGGACCGAAATCGAAACTGAATATTTTTTGTTTATATTTTGTTAAAATTTGGGTTTCTGGTTCGGTTTGGATAAAAGTGTTTTGATTATTCGCACCAAATCGAAAACCGATAATATTCATATACTTAACAGAAGCTCATATATTAGTTAATCAAGCCCATGTTTTTTAGTTCACCCATGAACACCACTAGCATGCCCATTTTTTAATTAATCAAGCCCATGTTTTTTAGTTAAGAAAATTACTCCATATACTACCAAAATCACTTTTATTTGCATATATACTAACCTTATCTTTTATTTGTACTTATATCAATACCCTAATTTTCATTTGTAATCGTACCAGCATATTTCATCTTTTCCTCTATCTTTTTGTTTTCATCGTATCAACTTTTCCATCTCTTTCTCTATCTTTTCGTTTTTTTTTTTGTTTTTTTCATTCAATTCTCCATTTCTCCTCCTTCAAGTTTCTCCCCTCTTTTCACTACTACCCAAATCAAAGGTCGGCCATATACAACAAGTACTCCCTTCACGCCATGCGCTGAATTCTGCGGCAGCGGATCTCAATTGTGGGCGACATCGATCGAAGGACCTCGAACTCGCGAAGGCTCGTGACTACCCATCACTTGTGGCTCTTGCACTGGCGACGACGCATCTCGCAACGATGAGACCTGAGATTGATTGCTTATCCTACGACGAAGGCGGGGTCTCGCAATCAATCAGCGAGAAGTGACACAATTCCGTAATTGAGTTCTGAAGGTGAGCGTCTCGGCTGAAGGATAAGATCCTCCTGTTAGTTTTTTTTTTCTCTTTGCCCTTTGCTCGCAACCTCCCTAACGCTCCTCTTTGGCTGATTTTTTTTGGGCCATTCTCTTTGGTATATAATACGTATATCTTCTGTATATTTTCGGTATATAATGACTAGATTGATTTATCTTTTGAAATAAATCTTAACAATTCGATACAGTAAATGATTCAATAGATGAAAAATGTCCGATATAAACAAGTATATACTCGTATATACACGTTATGAAAACCGTCACGATAAGTAGTATATGTCAAGCATATATCCTGTTATAATACTTGTACATTATACACAGTTCATACTTTAATGAATGTCAGACAACAATATCAGATGACAAATAGTTGTCGCTCGACGATATCATATGACTGACTTCTTATGTAGTCAGTATATTTTCAATACATATTGCGTTTCAATAATTTCTTCGGATGTTGTGCGTGTACAAACAGGTTAACGCACAAACAAAATAAACGTGAATAAAACGACAAAAATCCTTATGTTAATGTATATTTAGTATATAGAATCGATTAAAAAACATAAATATTTACCTTAAACCTAGAACACAGCTCGATCGTAATCGCAATGATATGATTTTTTTTCCTTCTTCAACGTTTTTGTTAAGCTCTATCTAGCTTACCTTTTTTTATTATTTATTTATGGTAAGAATCCCGTAACATATGAAATCTCCTGTTTAAAGTTTTTTCTCTCTCTCTCAACCGTTTCAACAATATGATGTTAATATAATTTTTAATGGTCAGTTACATATCTTTGGAAATAAGTTGTTTGAGTTAGTATTATAATAATTATTCAACAATCGTTGTAGTGAGTACGTAAATAAGCCTTTTTAGTTGCCTACCTAAAGAGGATAGAAAACTATGTAACATATGTAACAACATATATGAAAGAAAATGAGGATAGAAAACTAAAATTTGATTGTAATTCCAAAACATATGATGAGAAAATTGAAGCCTTGTAATATTGTTGAAACTAATAAAAAAAAAAGGAGAAACAAATATTGAGACATAAATGCATTTACAATGGTTGATCCGAGATTCTTAAGTCAATTCTCTTTATGCATTTTAGTCTGCGTTGGTGAAATTATTAAATAGCTAGCTATTGTTATTTTTTGTAAATTATAGATATTTTTTAAGATATTTTTGTCATTTCTCCATTTTGTCGGATAACCGAAAACCGAACCAATCCAACAGATGGACTTTCGGTTTTGAACCGAACCGAACCATAGAATTTGGTTCAATATTTAGGTTGGACAAACTGAAATTTCGGTAGGTTCGATTCAGTTTTAAACGATTTAACAGTCCTAGTCAGATCCACAAGACCAGATTTTTTGCTGTCATGGAGCCACCTGAAACCAACATTATTTCTTACCTTCTAGCCACAAAAAAAAAAAGACTCTACCTACGAGGAAAAGTGTCATATAACATCCTACGTTGTGGAGAAACAGAAGCAGGGTTTTCATTCAAAACGAGCAACCATAGCATTCCAAACTATTTAACAAGCCACAGCAAGCGTGTAATTTATAAATAAAAAGCCTGATATTAATGGCACGTCTGGCAAAAATGTAAGGTGCGCATAAAAGAACCAGTTTTACCACTATCAAGCCAAAGATACTTGGATGAAGATTCTAACAGAGTACTACTTAATCAGTTTTTTTGTCGTCCACTCCCAATTTCAGATAGATCCCCAACGACCCCACTGGAGTCCAATACCATAAGCGGCTACTCCTAAACGATGATCCAAACAGATCCAAAAAAAAATAAAAAATCATATAATCAGTCATGAACAAAACTTGTTTAAAATTACTGAGCAAATGAATAACAACAAAATGCAAAAAAAATATATATACACACACACAATACCGTGGTACCGGGGAAAAGGAAAATAGCATCAGTTGGAACTAAAATTGAGTGGAATAGCTGATGTTGCTAAAGATTAATAACAATTTCCCATTCGCATCAATTATTCGACCCAAGCATGTTAAATCCCTAACAACCAATCAATTTATCTTGTTTGTAAGTCATGTCTTACAACAATGGTCGCTGATCCTTGAAATTTCATCTTGAGATGCTTTTTCATTCAAAACAGCGACTTCAAACCCATCCTCAATTTTGGAATTCCCAAGGCACTAATCTAACTTCTTTATTTTTCAAATTTTTTTTATCAGTTCACGAAACAAAACACAGGTTGCAACCATGTATAGTCCTCAATTTTCTTTTACATAATTATTATAGTAAACAGCACATAAAAGAGGATTCATCTCGGCATTCACATACATCCATCAATAACAGTGTGCATAGAATTTCCTCACCCGAGCAACCATTAACGGAATCTAACATAAGAAAGGGCAGTATAACATAATCTACCAAATCCACACATTGAGGAGAAAAAAGCTGGTGCACTCAACAACTCACTTACCGTATTCCCTTTTCCTGCAAAGAATCATTTGTACTCGAAGGACGGTGGGGCTGGCGCATCAAAGCTCTCTAGAACATTTGTCTTGCTGCTGTCACCCGCTTTCGCATCCTCCTTCGCACCACCAAAGAATCCCCCAAACCAGGACGATGATGATGTGGACGAAGGCGGGCTGTCAACACTCACCGGGCCCTGACCTGGAATCTGCCCCATGGACGGGAACCCGGCAGGCACAGGCTCTTCCATGGGCGGCAGGTTCTGTGGGGCACTCATGATCTTGTTGAGCATGATCCCGGCACCCTCAATCAGGGCCAGCAGCACACCACCAAAGACGGCTGACCTTGAGGCGGCCCCAAGGCCCTGCCGCATTTGGAGGAACCCACCGGTGGCTGCTCCGGCTATGATGGAATTCCAGGGGTCTTCTTTCTGCCGAAGATACACCATGCTGCAGTCGAACGTGGAGAAAAGCCCACCCCAGACGGCAAAGCTGCCCCCCACGCGTGGGGCATTCATGCGCACAGCCTGGGAACCGCCCGCCAGACGTTCCCCTTTTGGGGAGTTGTAGATACCTTTTAAGAAGTGGAAAGCAGCTCCACCCACAGCGCCCATGCCGAAGGCACCACCCACGTCGTCCAAGATCCGGTCCGGGCAGGGCTCTCGGGATGTTTCCGGGGTACCCATGTGAAAAAATAGCCTTTTATTTTATTTTACTTTTTTTGCTCTCGGGTGAACCTGCTCTTGTTTCCAGTGGTGTTGGCCGGGCCGGTTCAGCTGTTTCAACCAAACAGACGATTATTGGATGTGGAAAGCATTGAAACAACAATAGACAACAATAGGAATTAGCATGACGAGGTGAAGATCATAATTGGGTGTATTTGTGAAAACAATCCGGAGAAAGAAGAAGGAATATTTCCATATATGATCACATCACATCAAGCACACTAAGACTCATTGTCCCTAACAAAAGCGGATTTCAGCACTCTGCTAATTATCACAAATTCAAAATACATATCGGCAAGATAATACACATCAAACGAGCTGAATGCTAATAAACGACAGACTTCACAAAACCAGAGCTTATTGACTTGGTTCCCAGCAAAGATGCTAATTCAAGGTACATAAAAATACGAGGAAAAATAAGTTTCTTGAGAAATTGTTGTGCGCGTGAGTTTATATGTTGTATCTAACGCATTGATGGATCCTTAATCAATATCAAAAGACATAAGAAAATGAATTAGGGTTTCACCTCGGTGGGATGTGAGCTCCGCTGGTGGAATGGAAATGTCGTAGAGAAAGGACTAGCTGGAGCAATTCCACTCTATATATATATTAACTTCAAAATGGGCCTTGGATCTTTAAATTACATTGGGTCATATCTTCGGTTTCTAGATATCTGGGCCAGATGTGGGTCTGTTCCAAGAGGAAAAAAGATGACACCCCGACATTCTTTTTAAAATATTGTTTACCTGGGAGGATTAGTCTCACCCTCTGGCTGTGGATGCCCCTAGGTCGTGAGGGCTCTTGCTAAGATTGGCGGGCTGGCAGTGGGTGGCGATGAAAACACCGGATGAACGTGGGGATACCTCCCAGTTGAAAAAAAAAATCATAGTCAGGAACAATCTTTTTCAAATGTGATTGAGCTAAAAGAGTGTGGAAGCATGCTCCTATCAGCTGAGATGGCATTAATAATGATGCTTGCTGCTTTTCAGATTGGTGGGGTTGGGTTTGTAGTATTGATAGGAATGAGATTTTTGAAGTCATAATAGAGTTTACAACCTATATCTTGTGGTGGTTGTGGAAATCTAGGAATCTGTGGTTGTTTGAGAAAGTTTGGAGACCTGAGCTGGGGACTATTAAAGGTGCTATGGATGAATGGCAGGAACATGTGCAGTTGAGAGACAAGGGGACTAGGGGACTTCACAGAGCCTGATCAAGGTCTGCTCTTTGGGGCAGTTCAGTGGGGAAGGTTCTTCTATGATGTCTGGTTTTTTTTTATGTGTTTTGCTGTGTATGTTGGTTTCTATTTGTATTGATTGTGTTGCTATTGTTAGTTGGAAGTTTTAGTTTGGTTCTGCTGCTTCTAGCTTAATATTTGTATTGATTTAGGCTACATGTATTCTGTGCAGTCTTCTCTGGCTTATGCACTCGACATTTGCGCTTTGCCCTTCTTCTGTATTTGGACAATATACCATTTGGTTTGCTTTGTTTTATTTGAGATTTCATATCGTTTCGTTAAAAAAAATATATATATTTTTCTTAATTCTAATTTTTATTTTTCTCTCTCATTGTCTCTTTATTTCTCTTTCTTTCATCTCTTTCTCTTTTCTCTCGCTCGTGCGAGCACGGGTCAATAATTAGAAATTGCAAGTATTAGAACAACGAAAAATATTGATTAGTATAAAAATAATTTTGAATATTAATATCTTTTTCCTTTTATTTTATAGTATACTAATTCGACGTATATTTTTATGTTTATTTCATCTGTTATAAAATAGTTTTCATTTTAGAGTTCATGTTTAAACTAATGATAATAAAAATTTAATATATTCAAATATTATCAATAAACAATAATCACATAATTCTTCTCTCTCTATTTTCTTCTACCCATACGTTATTACACTATTTCAATTCCTAAATAAGTTATACTAAAATAGACGACAAATATTATAATAAACAATTAATTGACAAATACTGTAATATATATTCTTTTGAATTTAAAAAAATAAATTATAAATCATAATTACATCAATATTATTTTATTTTATTTTTTTATAATTTATAATGATGTATATTATAAGTATTGTAAATTTATACGTAATCTATTAATTTAAATGACAGCTTGACACTGACTGATTTATCATTATAATTAATAACAATATCCATTATAAATATTAATTATTTTTCTAAGCAAAAAAATCACATCGTTGTTATTTTTTTTTCTACCCAGAGGTATCCCCACATTCATCCGGGATATCGATGCCGAGCCCAAGCCATCATCCGGCCCACCTAGGAAGACCGACCAGCGGTCGGGAGAATTGGTCCATATGGGTCAAGCCAACAGGCCAGCTTTTCACCACCGGAAGGTGGAACTAATCCTCTAGGGAAAATAGGGAACCCCAACTCCTCCACGATAGTCAGGATGGAACCCCTGACCTCCGGCTTCACAGGGAGTTTCACCTTCCTCCTTCGACTAGCTGTCCTCACGCCCTGGGGCACATCGTTGTTAAATAGATAACTTGTTGGTTTATTATTAGAATTTTTCACACTATACATTACAAAAACTTAAAATAAAAGAATCTAATTTAATAGTTTACATGGATAATTCGACGGATGATTAACTTGTCATCATAATTTGTTACAATATATATCATAAATATTTATATTTTTATTCATAAACTAATAATTTGCATGTCAGTCGACAAAATTGATTTTTTTATTATTATTATATTTGCAATTGTAACATGCATATTTGAATTATATTTTCTACAAAAAAAAAACCCTATTTAATAGTCGTTGTTTTGAAGTAATGTTCATGTTAGTTTGAAATAATTAATTTTTATTTTTTATTTTGTTATTATACTTGCAATTTTATCGTGTATATTAATTCTACAAATAAAACTTATTTAATAGTCGCTTTTTTAAGACATGTTGCAGAAAATCAAGGTATATGGTTTGTTTACCAAAAGAATAAGAAATTGCTAGTGATTCGTAATTATTATAAAGAATCGAATTTTTATTGTGATAATTATCACAAAATAATTTTCAAATTCAATACCATTTTATTTATATTGAAAGTCATGTTGTAATACCCACCTTCTAATACTAGAATTCTAAAAATAAGAGTTCAATTTTTGCTTTTTATTTCTGAAAACTCTTAACTTTTATTTTCGAAAATGCTTATACTGACTCGAGGGATGTTACTAAACCTTACTCTTCTTATCTCTTTCTCATGCAAACATAGTAAATACATTTAACCTAATCAAATTCGTTATATAAAGGTACCATGGAGATAGAGGTATTGCACATGCATAAGTCTAGAGTCTCATGATAACATACTAGTTCTGAATATGCGGAAGATAAACATAATGCATAATAAATAGTACGTGTTCATAATAAATGACATGATAATGCGTGACAAAAATCCACTGCTCATGACCACGACCACCACAAATGCTCACGCGCCATGCTGGACTATGCCACCTAAAAAAAAGGTAGTAGGGGCGTGAGCAAAACCACTATGCTCCGCAAAGATCGGTACTGACTAAAACAACATCATTAATAACAATATCATGACTTAAGCATATAAGTAACTGTATTGAACTGAACTGAAACTGTAACTAGGGCAACTGGTGGTTTTAGAAAAACCCTCGGCTTAAAGCCGCTGAATCATGTGCACACTCCAGGGGATCATTAAGGCCCGTTAAGGCCTCCCTCAGAACCTACGGGGGATCATTAAGGCCCGCCACGAAGTCCCTCGTGGTGAAACTAACTTTTCTCATATATATCTCGGACATGGTACGAAAATTAAAGATGATGTGAAATATTGTACATGGCCCCCACCTGATAAGCTGGTACTGCTAGGCAAGTGTTGGATGACTGATAGCTGTCGGAGGCTCGACTTTCCTTAAGCTACATAGATATTTGAGCAAAATGTACTAAGTACTGAGCTCAAACTGAAAGACTTGATTCTTATTATTATCTGATTTTACTAGGTTCGCTCGCTCGATTTTAAAATTATTTAATCTCAATTTAGAGGATTTATGAGCAAATTTGAGAAATTATTGACTTGAGACTTTTATAAAGTTCTCTGAAATATTTCTAAGTTTGTATTGCTTATCTAATTTATTTGATCTAGTCTATCTGACTTATCCGATTTATCTGAACTGACCTATCTGACTTTATCTGAACTGGCTTATACAGATCTGACTAGGTTCAAAAAAATATTGAATCTGGGTTCACGCTCAAACCGATATTCCGAACTGAAACTCTCGAATCGTCCAGATTGTCCAGACTGATTCGGCTGAACTGGACTGGCGGCTCGATCTGAACGGACCGGTCGCTCGTCTGACTAGGTGAAACTCAGTTTAACTATGGTCCGGGTACATACGCACGGACACGGCATTTTCCGACGTACAACTTTTCTACTCGGATCTAGAGTTCATCCGGACTGTCCGGGAAAAGGCCGAACTATGGTCCTCTACTCAACCGAAAAACTTACTCATTTGAAGCTGAAACTTAAACCCTATGTTCAACATAATTTCTAGTGATTTTAGGCCCAACAACTGCATCTAAGTCTCAACGGATAATTTCTAGATTTTTTTCACTAAAAGCGGCTAAAGTCCCGAATTTTTAGGCATATGAAACGGAATTCAAAAATTATTGAATTTTAACCGCATACTCTTCAGCATTTATAAGATTTATCATAGAAGTTTCACAGCATTTCGAGGTCTTTAACTTATTTAACAAAAATTAGGCATTTCGACTCTATAATCATAAATCCGGTTAACATAGCAAACGGAAACCAAAATTAACAAAATAAAAACCTAAGCCTCAAGTCAGCTAGATAGAATTTATCAACTTGGTTTTGCATTTTTCCGGGTAGCACTCAATATTTTACGAATTTAATGTCAAATAATACAATAAATTCACAATAAATCCTATTTAGCTCAAAATCACAAGTT